CAAGAACATTTTTCTCAGAAATAGAACATGTAATCCAAAAATTTATATGGAGCCATAAAAGACCCCGAATAGCCACAGCAATCTTGAGAAATAAGAACAAAGCGGGAGGTATCACGCTACCTGACATCAAATCATACTACAAGTTTACAGTAATCAAAACAGTATGGTACTGGCATAAAAAGAGACACATAGATCAATGGAACAGAATTGAGAGCCCAGACATAAACCCATCCATATACGGTCAGTTAATCTATGACAATGGAAGCAAGAATTTACATTGGAGTAAAGATAGTCTATTTAATAAATGGTGCTAAGAAAATTGGACTGACACATGCAAAAAAATGAAAATGGACCGCCTACTTACACCATATACAAGAACAAATTCAAGATGGATTAAAGAGTTAAATGTAAGACCTGAAACCATAAAACTCCTAGAAGAAAAAATAGGGAGTAAATTTGCAGACATTACCCTGAGTAATATTTTTACTGAGATATCTCCTTGGGCAAGGGAAATAAAAGAATAAATTAACATATGGGATTACATCAAACTTAGAAGTTTTTTTACAGCAAATGAAATCATCAATAAAACAAAAAGGCAGCCTACTGAATGGGAGAAGATATTTGCCAATGATATATCTGATAAAGGGTTAATATCCAAAATTTATAAAACACTCATTCAACTCAACACCAAAAAAACAAAACCCAATTAAAAAATGGGCAGAGGGATATGAAGAGGCATTTCTCTAAAGAGGACACACAGATGGCCAACAGGCATATGAAAAAATGTTCAACCTCACTGATTATTAGGGAAATGCAAATAAAAACCACAATGAGATACCACTTCACTCCGGTCAGAATGGCTAATTTTTTCTGTAATTTTTCATTCTTATATTATTCTTGCTGGGTTTTACTATCAAGGTTATACTAGTCTCATAAAATGAGTTGGCAAATATATCCTCTTTTACTTTTTCTGGAATACTGTGTTTAGAAATTGAGTATTTCTTCTTTAAATGTTTGGTAGGATTAGCCAGTAAAATCAAACAGGCTTAGAATTTCTTTAATGGAAGGCTTTTAATTATGTATTCAATTTCTCTAATGTTAAAGGGTTATTCCATTTTCTTTTTTTTTTTCTGGTATCTCTTTCTAAAAGTTATATTTTCTAGGAATATGTTCATTTCTCCTAAATTTTCAAGTTTATTGATATAGCTGATGAAAATATCTTTTTATTATTATATGCATCATGTTCTGCTGGAATGGAACACTTATTTTTCAAATGATAAGACATATGCTTTTTCATTTTTCTTTCTAGCTTCAGAAGTTTATTCTGCCTTTTTATTAAAAACCACAATTATAGAAATAGCAACAACTTCAAATAGCCCAGGATATTCAGCAACCTGTATTCCAAAATTATTTCAGAAAGATAGCTGTCTGGAATTAAAGCTCTTTAAGAGTGGAATCATTACTCCCTTCTTTGGTAGTTTATTTCAAATCCATTCATGCAATAAACTAAGTTGCAGATACAAGGATGAATCTTGCAGTCAAGAAACTTACTGTCTAGAGGAGGAGATGTTCCATTTAAGAAACAAACACAATCTCATGAGATGAATTCTACTCTCCATGGCACAAATGGGCACAAGAGGCTACAGAAACAGATAGAAGTACTCTTACTTTATTTTTAGGATTCAGTTTCATGTATTGGCAAGAATTGTGAAACGGTTGGAGTTGCAGGAGGCAGGCATGACATCCTGAATTGAAATCTGTCACACGAAGGAGTCTGGATAGAATGTATGATGAGGTAGCATCGATGGCTTTTAAATTGTATGGTTTGCATTTTAGAAAGTTGGAAATGAGGAACAGTTTTAGGCATTTATAAGGTTAATAACCTCAATAATTTAGAATTATCTTAAAAAAATTAGAATCCTGCCTATTAACAAAATTAAAGCCTATTAGCTATACAAGTTGAGAAACTAGACATGAAAGGCTTGAGATGAGAAACTGCATGCATAAATGAATAAATTACAGCGATCAGGGGGGAAAGGAGCACAAGCAAACGTTTCAGGTTTACATACCTATAACACGATGCTCCATAAGGACAGTCAGGCCTGTCATCAGCCTCATCCCGACACGTGTCTTGTGCCCCTCCATAATCACTGTCACCAGGGTGGCTGAAGTGTTGAAAATGGGCAGGATTCTTCCTATGAGGGTGACAAATATGCTGTCAGAAAAAAGAATTCATAGGATCTACAAGATTTCTAGATCTACTAAAAATAGTTAGCGAGATATGGCAGGAAACCAAGCAATACATCTGATTATTCCAGAATGTGAACTAGTGTGCTACATTGTTAAAAACAAGACTCATGACATAGTCAGTAAATAACTTTCATGGTAACAAAATAAATTTCTGATGACATACGGTAGGTCACAAATGTCAATGGTTAATTTGCAACTAGTACTTTATATGTATGTGTGTGTGTGTGTGTGTGTGTGTGTGTGTGTGTGTGTGTGTGTGTGTAGTAAAGCATACACAACTTTTAAAGACTTTGAATGACATGAACACACCTATGTATCTTTTGCTAAGATAAAAAGCAGACCATTATCAACATTCTAGAAGCCTACACAGGTCTCCTTCCAATCACTAAACCCATTTTACTACCCAAAGGTAACCACTATGCAGTCATAGAAAATAGTGTTTCTCAAACTTTTTGGTCTTAAACTTAAAAAAAAAAAAAAAAACATAAAAAATAACTTAAAAAAAATAACAAAAAAAAAAACCCTCCAGAGGGCTTTTGTTTATGCGGGTTATTTAATCTGTTAGAAATAAAAAATGAGAAAACCTTTTTAAATACTCAAAAATAATAAACCCTTTACATATTATCATAAATAACATGTCTTAACATAAATAAGTCTATCTTCAAAAAAATTGTGGCGATGTTGTTTTAAACTTTGGAAATTTCTTTAATGTCTGGTGTAATAGAGGACTTGTGGATTCTCATATCTGTTTCTACATTCAATCATTAACAATAACACAGATCATATAGCCTCTGGGAAACTATGCTGTACACTTGTGAGACAATGAGAGTGGAAAAGGCACACACACACTCACAAAGTCTCAGTATTATTATGAAAATGGTTTTGACCTAACAGATTTCCTAAAAGCTTCCTGGGCACCAGAACTTCTCAGGGGTTTCTGGACCATACTTTGAGAAGCAATGTTATAAAACAACATATTAGTTTTGTCTAGAAATATATAGTATATACTTCTTTGAAAATGATTTTTTATGTTTGTATGATTACTCCATATTGTTGCATGTAGCAGTAGTATATTTTCATTATTATGTAACATTCCATTGTATGAAGCTGCTACAATCTATTTTGTCCATTCTACTATTCATAGACCTTTGGGTGCATTCAAGTTAATTGGCTTTGATAAATAATACTGACATAAACATTTTACTTTTGGTGTACATGTCTGCATTTTGTACATATGCATAAAACACTAAAGAGTCCTCAAAACTAGTTAGAAGTAATACACCAATTCAGCAAAGTTTCAGTATACAAAATTAGAACACAAAACTCAGTTCTGTTTCTATACTCTCATAATAAACAATTCCCCTAAAAAAATTTAAAAACAACTCCATTTATAATAACATTTAAAAAGAAAATACTTAGAAATAAACTTAATCAAGGAGGTGAAAGACATGTACGTTGGTTTAATTTCTATTAAAGACACAAATAAATGGAAATACATTCCATGTTCATGGAATGGAAGACTTAATATTGTGAAGATGTCAATACTACCCAAAGCAATCTACAATTGATGAAATCCCTATCAAAATCCCAATGGCATTTTTTACAGAAATACAAAAGAAAAAGCCATCCTAAATTCATATGGACTCTCAAGGGACCCAAATAGCCAAACAGTCTTGAATAAGAAGAAAAAAGCTGGAGGTGTCACACTTTCTGATTTCAAAACTTATAGAACTACATTTATCAAAACAGTGTGGTACTGCATGAAGACAGGCATATAGACAAATGGAAAAGAGAGAGCCCAGATATAAACCCTCACATGCATGGTCAAATTATTTTCAACGATGGTGCCAAGACCATTCAACGGGAGAAAGGAAAGTTTTTCAACAAAGAGGGTTGGAAAAATTAGACGTTCACATGCATAAGAATGAAGTTTGAGCCTTCCCTTTCACTAAATAAAAAATTAACTCAAAATGGATCAAAACCTAAATATAAGATGTCAAATATAAAACTCTTAGAAGTAAATGGTGTGTGTGTTGAGGGAGGGGGAGAGCTTTATGACATTGCATTTGGCAAAAATTTCTTGCCAAATGCAAAGGCAACAAAAGTAAAACTAGATAAATTGGACTACATCCAAAATAAATGGTGGCCAAGACATGGAAACAGATAATTGGATAAAGAAGATGTGGTACATATATACAAAGGAGTATTACTCAGTCATAAGAAAAGATGAAATACTGCCATTTGTGACAACATGGATGAATCTTGACAATATCATGCTAAGTGAAATAAGTCAGACAGAAAAAGTCAAGAACCATATGATTTCACTCATATGTAGGACATAAAACTGAAAGCAACAAACGAACAAATGAGACAAATAAAAAAACAAAAACTCACAGATACAGACAACAATATGGTGGTTACCAGAGGGAGAGAGAGATGGGAGGGATGTAGAATAAGTTAAAGGGGATCAGTTACATGATGACAGAAGGAGACCTGGCTTCGGGGTGTGAACACACAATGCTATACACAGATGATGTGTTATAGAATTGTACACTTGGAGTCTCTATAATCTTATTAACCAATGACACTGAATAAATTTAATAAAATTTGTGAAGATTAGGGAAATGAAGGGATTTTCAATTCCATTCTGAAATTCTGTTTAAATGTTCTCATATTTAAATAAGTAGCCCAAATGTCCCATGAATTAAAAGGGAATAATTCTTAAAAAAATATTTTAAAAAAAGAATTAAAATTTTCTGTGCATCTAGGACAATTAACAGAGTGAAAAGGCAATCTACAGAATGGGAGAACATATTTGCAAGTCACCTTATAAGGGGTTAATATTTAGAACTCCTCCAATTCAATGACCAAAAAATAAATAACCAATTCTAGAATGGGAATAGGACTTGAAAAGAAAGTTCTCCAAAGAAAATATACAAATGGCCAACAATCCTATGAAAGAAGCTCAACATAACTAATTATTAGAGAAATTCAAATAAAAAAACACAATAATATCTCATACTTCACACCATTAGGATGGCTACCACTAAAAAAACAAACAAACAAAAAACCCCAGAAAATAACAAGTGTTGGTGAGGATGTGGGGCAACTGGAATCTTTGTGCATGTTTTGGGGAATGTAAAATGATACAGTCTCTACGGAAAATAGTGGTTCCTCAAAAATTAAAAATAAAATTATATTATCCATAATTCAACTTCTGCATATATCCAAAAGAACTGAAAGCAAGATCTCAGAATTAGTTACACAACCATGTTCATAGCAGCATTATTCACAATAGCGAAGAGATGGAAGAAACCCAAGTGTCCACTGACAGATGAATGGATAAACAAAACGTTGTATAATATACATACAATGGAATATTATTCATTCTTAAAAAGGAAGGAAATTCTGACACATGCTACAACATGGATGAACCTTGAGGACATTATACTAAGTGAAATACACCATCACAAAATGACAAAACTGTATGATTCCACTTATATAATGTAGTCGAATTTTCTTGCTTTAATCCCCAAACACTTCCATTATTTTCATTTCACATTTGGATTTCACATTTATTTTACACAAAACAAAAATTATTATTGCTTTAGATAGTCAATATTCGTTTATACTTATGCTCATATTTTCCATCCTGAATGTGTATGCTTCCATACAGGGATCCTCCGTCTGGCAAACACTCTACTCCATTTTTCTGCCTAAGCCCCATGTGACTGACCAAAGCTCTGTGTGGCCTCTTAGCCCTCAGCTTGAAACACTAAAAAAAATGGCAAATGTCACAAGGAGAAAAGAGACCTCAAAGGCCTGGCTGTCTATGCTGTTTTTGAACATGAGTGTTCCGCTTTCCTATCTGTCCTCAGTGGAAAGTTTGGTCTTCAACAAGATATTCCCCCTTTACCAGAAGTGAAAACCTTATTTTATAAACTATTAACTCCCATTAATTTACATCACCTTACATTGATAAAAAGCCACAAGTTTAAATTAAGGTATAAATTTCTTATATGCTAATAAGAGACATTTCAACTTCTGCCCAATTTTTAAAACCAATTTACTAATGGGACGCTATGCTATTAAACAGAAAAACTAAACAACCCCAAAAGAGTAGAATTTTCAAAGGATATATTTTGGAAGCAACAGTTCCAACAAACAAAGTTAAATACCATTTTGCTGTTATTTTGTTTCACAAAGGATTGAAAATAAGATGCTATTGCTTTAGACATATTGAATTTGAAGTGCTTGTGGATATAGCGGTCACGATCTAGATCTAAAATTCAGTACAGAAATCTGTGCTGGAGATATAGATCTGGTAGTCAATAGCATGATATCAAACGATTAAATAAGGCGACCCTTAAGGAATGATTTTCTATAAAGAGAGATAGAACATGCAAATAATTAAAAATCGATAAAATAAGTATTAAATATTAAATTTAATGTCAAATATTAGAAACTGGATAAGGAAAAATATCACACAGAATAAAGAATGAGTACTTTGGGAAGAAAGGACATGTCAGAAAAGGATTTGGAAAAAGTTGAATGTAAGCAAGAGCTTTAAGCAGGGCAGGAGTGAGGGAAAGGGAACAGCATGTCCAAAGGACATAAAAGAGTGTGACACAGCCAAAGAATTAGTGGCAGTTCAGGGTCTTCTGGGCGATGCTAAGAAACCCAGACTTCAGCCACTAAAAGACTCTGTACAGGACAGCAAATACTGTCAGATATTTTTTCCCCCTTCTCTCCGTGCTTTTTTTTTTTATGTTTGTTTTTTTTATTTTCTTAGCCAGATCACTCAGGCAATAATGAGGAATATGAATTTGAGGGGAAAATGGAGATTTAGGAGAGTATTCATTTGTCTCAGAGAGACCACGGCATGAAATAAAGCAGTGGCATCGGGGCTGATGAAGAGATACACTTAAATAATTATGATGTACACATATAACAAGAACTCAATACATGTTATTTTTCTCCCCTTTATTACAAATATATATTTTGTTTGCAAGACTTCAGTGGTAATATTTCTTAGGTGTTAATTATGCTTATCAAAATTACTGAAAAATTAGAATAACTTAATGAGCTATGGCCGATTCAAGCTAACGTGTATCATCATCAAATATAAATGAATTCATTAGGATCTAGCTAAAGCATTCAATCACCTTTAACAAAGACAAATGCCAGTGTTGAATACTGTTGTGGACTGAATTGTGTCCCCCTTACCCCAAATTCATATGTTGAAGCCCTAAGCCCTAATGTGACTATATTTGGATACAGGACGTTTAAAAAGATAATTCAGATTAAATAAGGTCATAAGGGCAGGGCCTTAATCCAATATGACTGGTGTCCTTATAAGATGAGGGAGAGGCGCTAGGGATGTGCATGTACAGAGACAAGGCCATGTGAGGACATAATAAGGCCATCTGCAAGCCAAGGAGAGAAGGCTCAGGAGAAACTAAACCTGCCAACACCTTGATCTTGGACTTCCAGCCTCCTGTACTGTGAAATAATAAATTTCTGTTGTTTAAACCACCAAGTCTGTGGTATTTTGTTATGACAGCCCTAGTGAACTGATATAAATACCAAACAGGATTTTTAAAAAATCCAAACTCATAGAAGGTTTATATACTTCTACAAGTTTAAGAATAGTTTTCCACACGTGGAACTAAGGCCATTGTAAGTATATAAAATTCTGAATGCATAAATTATGATTGTTGAAATTGAAAAATATTGTTATTCAATATTTTTTCTAAAACGGCAAGGCATTTTAAAGAGAGATAATATGAATGTGAAGTTAACAGAATATGTGATATACATACGCTACCGCATAGAAGACAACAAACTCTGCTCAAGTGTGTTGGTAAGATACATGGTTTCACAAGTTGGAATGGCAAAGAAATACTTTTGAAATAGGACTGAATAATTATAAGCATTCTAGTATAAACACTATAGATGAAACTATAGTCTAAAACTACGGGATTATGATTTGAATTCACAAAATATGAAATTAGAAAACAGAGTACAATGTAATCAAATGAAGTAAGTATAGAGATAACCAATCAACTCAGGAAATATATATTCAGCTATTTTAGAAGGCATCATGGTGATTCAAAAGCATCATTAGAAAAATATAAAGGAAAATGCACAAGTACAAGATGTTTAAACACAACCTAAAATTGTCTTGATAGTTACAATATATACAACAACTATTTATGAAGCTATCTTTCTAATTGCTAAATAAGACACTAAATAAGCAGGTATTTAGGCCTGAGTGATTCAATTTTCAAGTCTGGATTCCCCAGTTCCGAGCCTTGCATTAATCAGCATGTCTACATGTGAAACGTTTAATTCTTAAAAGCCTCTAGCAGGATTTGCAGTAATGCATCCTGTAAGAGTGCAAACCAGTAGACACGTGAGAAGGCGCCTAACCTTTAGGCCAATGCATTTTATTAGGCTTTTAGTACATGATAGCATATATCTACATAGTTACATGCTATTAAAATAATATAATTATACGCTACCTGCAATTTCATTTTACCTGTAGCAGTTTGCCCCGTACATGCAGGAGGCCCTCTTGACCTTGTTTTCCTCAGAAACTTGTGGAGCTGAATCAGCTGCCTTTGCATGCACAGTTTCAGGGTTGGAGGGATCAGAGCTGGACTCAGGATGAGCTCCTTGAGACTCCTCGTGGAAGTACTTGCCTTGGGCACTTGAACAACTCTCGGGACTGCTCACTGCCTCTTCTTTATCTGGAGCTCCTTTAGCTATGACTTTCTGTTCAGAAAATTTACTAATTTCCTCTACTGGGATTTTGTTTCTCTGTGTATTAGTCTTCATACTATTCGCCTCTGTGTTACTTAATGTGACTGCAGGAAATGATTGTGGCATTTCCTATGAGACAAATCAGAAGAAAAAATAGAAATAAATGAAACATGTTTTAAAAGAAATATGTAAGTTTCAGCATAAAAGCATGAAACTACAAGATTCGTGTAATATGTATATCTTAAAAACTTTAAGATTTACATTTTAAAGTTATTAAAAATACTATTTTCTTTATCTATAGTTTAATAACTTTAAAACACTATACAGTTATAAGAAAAGGTATTTACAACTGTATCAAACCTTTACAATCATGTCAAACATTCAGTGAAAAATAACCATATGAAATAACAAATGAAACATAAGAGAATGCATTTGCTTTCACTTTAATATACTCTTTCCCCCAAAACCTAATCAGCTCTCAAATTTCCTGTTGAACAATATGTCACACTCTTAACATGCACTGTTCTTATAATTTCCTGTAAGTTACTGCAATACTTTATTTCTACCTCAAATATAATCATGATTATTTCCTATAGCTGAATAAAATTGCTCCTCATTCACAGAAAAATTTACATGAAGCTGTGCTATGACCAACTCAGAAAATAAACATGATTACTTAGCTACGATCTGAATAAAAGTTTCAGTTTAACCAATTAGAACCGTTTTGAACCAAGTAAATATTCTCATTAGCACTGCAGAAACTTTTTAATTTGTACTTATCACCAGCACAAAGAGGATTACCTTTTAATTACTTATACTTCCTGTGAAATGAAAACATTACTCAGATAAACCCCAGTCCTTGTGGAAACCACTTCTAGGAAGTAATGACCACGTAACAGAGACACATGATGTTCAGCCCCATTTATAACTAAGGGCTCAAATATGCTGGCTGCCATCTGGAAAAAGCTGGTTTTTGATATTACTTTAATATCCAACAGCTCCAATTTCTTGAGAAGGTATTAACATGGCTTCTTTTAGACTAATTACTTACAGTGTTTTGATTTTTTTCCTTTTTTTAAAGAAATACAGTATGTAACTTTAAAGTACTATTCAAACTGACTAAAGACCTTGCAAAGGGAACCTAGGTTTTATCATGTTTTCTTGTACAGTTATAAATAACCTACAGGAAAAGTGATCATTTGACTACCTCTTGGAGCTGACCCTCAGCTGGTGGCATTTATACCACATTTCTCACAAACATACACTCTTTTCTCCCAATCTGCTCAACCACACCCCAATTTCATCTCCCTCTGCTAAAGGAGCAACTGACACAGGCCAGGGACTGGAACTCTAGTATGGGAATGGGGCAATCCTGACCCACCTCCCCACTTGGCAGTCCCCCACTGGGTGAACTCTCACCAGTTTTCTTTTTCCCTGTTCAGGTGCTAATCGGGTAGGTCGGCAAATCCACTTTCTAAGCAGATGCCCAATTAAATGCCAGTCTTACAAGTAATTCTCTTACAGCTCCTCTCTTCCCTTGCTTTTAGAAAGGGAAAAACTAACTTCTCCCCCTAAACATAGCACTCCCCAACATCTTAAAACCTTCTGGTCTCTCAGTTCTCTTTGTATAAAGCCTGAGGGAGGAAAAGGTCTGGCTCTTACTGCTGGGGGCTCCTTCCAAACATGAAACTTACAAGCATGCTTAGTGTTTTTGTCCCCAGCTTTGGGCCTCAGCAACAGTTTGGGGACAATAGGAGTAAATATCCCACTCAACATCCTTCATATGTTATAGGGGGAAAAAACCGACATGGCTAGGGAAGCAGTTAAATAAATTAGAATACATTCTTACCATGAAACACCATGCAGAGGTTGAAAAGAAAGAGATAGATTTATATTATATTATATATATACGTATACACACATATACATACATATACATATATGTATATGTATGTATACGTATATATATATACACACATATACACACACACACACACACACACATACACACATATATATATATATATATATATATATATATATATATATATATATCAGGTCTGACAATTAAGTTCTTGAACTGGTTGCAATGATATCAGAGGGATTATTCATTATGAATTTGTACCAACTGGACAAATAGTTAACCAAGTTTACTATTTGGAAGTGCTGAAAAGGCTGCATGAAAAAGTTAGATGACCTGAACTTTTTGCCAACAATTCATTGCACTTACATCAAGACAATGCACCGGGTCACAAGACACTGTCTGTGAAGGAGTTCTTAATCAGTAAACAAATAATTCTATTGGAACACCCTCCCTACTCACCTTATCTGGCTCCCAATGACTTCTTTATCTAGAGATAAAGGAAATATTGAAAGGAAGACATTTTGATGACATTCAGAACATCAAGCATAATACGATGACAGCTCTGATGGTCTTTCCAGAAAGAGTTCCAAAATTGCTTTGAAGGGTGGACTAGGCGCTGGTGTCAGTGCATAGCTTCCCAAGGGGAGTGTATCGAAGGTGACTGTAGTGATATTCAGTAATGAGGTATGTAGCACTTTTTCTAGGATGAGTTCATGGACTTAATTGTCAGAACTTGTATACATATATACATATATATATATATACATATACATATATATACATACATGTGTATGTATATATACATATATATTAAATTAAACAAGAATATATACCATAATTCCATTTAGCTTTTTAAAAAATTCCCTATATATCTGTGTCCTGACTTGTGTAAATCCAAATGAAAAGGTTTAGAAGGATACAAATCAAAATATTAGTAGGACAAACAATATATATATATATATTAGTAGGACAATGGGCTTGAAGGGTGAGGCAAATTAAGATTTTCACTTTTTACTCCACATGCTTCTGAATATTTTTTAACAACAATGTATTATTTTGCCACTTAATAAGTGTAAAACAAACCAAAAAAAATCAAATAAAATATAGATATGAAATGGTTGGCATCATATTTCAACTCCCTCTACTTCCATGAAATGCAAACAAGGATTTTTTTAAAAAAATATCATCACAAGAAGTACTTTTCACATATTAATTTATTCTAAGAGAGAAAAAAATAATGAAGTTACAGATATCAATATATGGATGGGGTTCTCAAATATATTTTAAAAGTCACAAAAGCTGGAATTCATATGCTCTTCATGGAACTCCACGAAACAGTGATATTCAGTAGACCCCTAGCATTAAAGAATTTAACATTCATGGCTTCAATTATTTATAAATGATCCCCCAAATCTATTATATGCAGTAATCTTTATTAGTTTGCTGAGACATAAATTTGTACTGTGCCAAATACAAAGCTCATAAGCCAGAACAAGCCACTGAACGGGCAAGGGTGGGAAGAGGAAAGATGGAAAGTGCTCTGTTCGTAGAAGACGCAGGGGAAAGGCAGAGAGCTCCTTATTTTATAAGTACCCACATTTCTTATTTCTTAGATTAGCTGAAAATGTGAAGAATGAAGTATGGGAGGCTAGAGAGTCACTATAGAGAGGCCAGATTCCTTACACTATAAAAATACATGCTAGAGACCTCAGAGGTCAAAAAGCTTGAATCTAATAGAAGGTGACTTTGGGCTTGAAGGCAGCTGGAATGTACTATTAAGGCTACTGAAATAGTCTAACTTGACCAACAAGCCCTCCCTCAACCGTATGAACTTCTCAGGTACTACAAGGGACAGGATAAAGAATTTCCCCCAATATGAGTTCAAGGCGGCAATTTGTTGTTTCCAAGCTGCCCTTGGAATGAATGTCTAGGTTAATAAATTGCCTTTAAGTCCTGCATCAATCCCATTAGCGCCCCCACATGCTAAAGACCAAAAAATCCTAAACTCTGGCCCCAAATACACTCCTGAGCATCAAACTCATATAGTATTCAATCACTAGCTAGACATTTCTTCCCCAATATCGTATGCACCTCAAACTCAAAATGTCAAAACTGAAATCCTTCCTCTGTATTCTGAATCATAGTTTTGGCCAACATAATGTATCCATTTAGTCTAGCCACCACCTTGAAAGTCTATCTTTCCCTCACTTTCCCCAGATCCAAAGTCCTGAAGTTTTGCTTCCTAAATATTTCTCTAATCCAATGTCTTTGCATCGTCCTTAATGCTACTGCCCCGGGTCACATTCTCTTTATTTCCTGACCATGTAGATGCCCTCACCTCCTCCTTTATCGCCCTATTTTTTACCTTCTTTTCTTTCAGTCTCTCTTCTGAAGAGTTGTCAGGATTATTTCTGTAGCTGAGAACATCTCAAGGTCCTCCCTCCAGGAACCAGTCCCCACTGCTGGCTTCACGCTCATCTAACACTGCTGCCTGACTTTGCACTAAGAATTCTAAGAACAGTAGTTCCCGGTGTACTATTTGTATCCCTTCTGCTCTTATACTTGCTGGCCCATCTATAATAGCTGGGATGGACTCCTGCCTCTACCTCTTCTGCACCTGGGTCATGCCTACTGCTCTTCTGTTAAGATTCAGCTCAGATCACTTCTGTTAGGAACCCTTCTCTAGGAATTGTACAGCTGGCTTAGGTAGTCCCTCAAAGCTCCCATAAATGTCAATGTGGGGGCCGCCGGTTAGCTCAGGGTTAGAGTGCAGTGCTCATAACACCACAGTTGCAGGTTCGATCCTCACATAGGCCACGGAGCTGTGCCCTCCACAACTAGACTGAAGACAATGACTTGACTTGGAGCTGATGGGTCCTGGAAAAAACACTGTTCCCCAATAAAATCCTTTAAAAAAAAAAGTCAATGTGGTGACATTAGTTTATGATTTGAATCTTGTCCCTCACAAGACTGTCTTATTCATCTTTTAATCCCAGATTCTAGCACACTGCCTTGCAAATAACAGAAAGACTGCTCAGTGTAATGATTTTAGAATAATCTCTGAAATACAAAATCAGATTTTGAATATCAGCTTTGCCATCTCTTAACTTTTGACCTTGAACAAGTTGATTTAAACTCTCAACCTCAGGTTTTCTGATCTATAAACCAGGGATAAAATCAACCTACTCTCCAGGATTTTCTAAAAATTAAATAAGTATGTCTTAGTGCTGGGTCTAGCCTAGAATAAGAACTCACTAAATGGTTG